AGTAAAATTAGCTCCAGTTACCACTCCAAGGTTAAACACAGCTATGTCTGTACAAACCTCAGGACTTTAAAGTTACAGTGGCAGGAAACTGGAGTGCTTTGATTTCTCAATTATCCTGCTTACCCGCTGGAGGCCAGCCCATGTTTTGCTGCGAGGCTTTTGATAACAAAGGGTTCAGTCTTCAGGTTCGGAGGGAGGCAGGAGGAGAAAGTCTCAACAAGCGAGCAGAGAGAACATTCTTGGGCAACGAGCAGGCCCTGCCACTGGTGCACAATGCGCCCCCGGGCGCAACGCTTGCCCAGAATGGTTTTGCTGGAAAGGGTTTCCGCTCCTCTCCTGCATTCCATCATCATCATCATTGGCATCACCCTCTGCCTGCTTTCTCCTCACTTTGGGACTTAAGGGGTCTCACAACAGATTGAAAAACCCCACATAGGGAGGAATCACAAAATGCAAAAGTTTATTATTAGGATGGACCAATTGGCCAACATATAAAGATGTATTAAGGAAAAAAAGATAATGAAATACAATTGAAGACAAGGAAGAGATAAACACCCAATTTGCAAACGTATCTTGGTTTCAATACTTACAACTTAAAGAATATTACAACTTAGACAAAAAATTAGGCTTCATGACAAAGGAAGACACATGGGATCAAATCTTAGGAAAGAAGAACTGGAGGGAAGGATACTAGAGACAAAGTTGAAGTACTTTGGCCACATCATGAGGAGACAGGCAAGCCTAGAGAAGACAATTATGCTGGGGAAAGTGGAAGGCAAAAGGAAGAGGGGCCGACCAAGGGCAAGATGGATGGATGGCATCCTTGAAGTGACTGGACTGACCTTGAAGGAGCTGGGGGTGGTGACGGCCGACAGGGAGCTCTGGCGTGGGCTGGTCCATGAGGTCACGAAGAGTTGGAGACGACAGAACGAATGAACAACAACATAATAAATTACTAGAGTGGGCCACCGAAAAAGAAGTAATAAAAGAATGTATGATTAAGTGGGCTAAAAATATTGGAAGACAGATACAATACAAAGAATGGGAACAAATTTGGACAAAAAAGATTCGGTACACTTACTCGACCGATATGCAGGAAAATTGGTTAAAATTTTTTTATAGGTGGTACATGACGCCACAAAAATTAGGCATAATGTATGATAGTGTTAGAAATAAATGTTGGAAATGTGAATCACAGGTCAGAACCTTTTATCATGCATGGTGGACATGCCCCGTAATCAGTACATATTGGAAAATGATAAAACAAGTATGTGAGAAGATTTTAAAAACAAAGATTCAAACGAAACCAGAATACTTTCTACTGGGAATAATAGATGAAGAATTGGAACTAGATCAAAATAAGGATATCCTGTTTAATTATTGTATCACAGCTGCAAGAATAGTCTTGGCAAGAAAATGGAAACAGAAAGAAGTAGCCACAAAGGAGGAATGGATGAGTAAGATGAAGGAAATCAAAGACGTGGATAAACTGACCTTTGCATTAAAAGACTCATATGGAAAACCAATGAGAAAAACTGACTGGAAGTTATTCGAGGAATACTTATCAGATGACCAAAATAGGAAAGACACATAAGAAGAGGAAGAATGAGTTTTCAGAAAAAGGAAGAAAAGAAAAAGATGGAACCAGAGAGAAGGAGATTAAGGAAGTCAGAAGACCCTTAACACCCCCCCCCCCATTGCCCCTTCCCCCCACTGCCCCAGATCCTAAATACTTTCCATACCCTCTTTCCTTAACCCATTCTCACACCCTTCCCTACCCAACCTACCCTCCCAATCTTCCTCCTACCTATAATTTCAACATCCCTAACTCCCAATTTTTACCTATACATCTGTAAGAATATACTCTAATAAAAATTATTTTTAAAAAATGCAAAAGTAAAAGAGCAATCAAATTACTGTATAAGCCAAGCTGATACAGAAGCCAAGGGCAGACTTCGTTCAGGGACCTAGAGATTCTCACTTCCTGTTGTTTCACCTTCTTTCTTAACTAGGAGTCATTTGTAAGTCGAATGTTTGTAACTCGGAGACTGCCTGTATATGTGTGTGTGTAAGAAGAGTGTGATATGTGTATATAGAAGGGACCCCAAAGGCCATTTAGTCCGGCCCCATTATTTTAAACGAGGAGTAATTTGGAATTAGAATGTTTCTAACTCAGGGACTGCTGATAGATAGATAGATAGATAGATAGATAGATAGATAGATAGGGAATAGATACACGAGGGGTATTTTTTAAGTAAGGTCCGTTGTGTTGTAGACACTAGTAGTTCACGTGCATACCGCAACGAGCGCGTGCGTCATGTACCGGCATGCCTCGGGAACAACTGTGCTCAGTTTCCGCTCTGTAGCTAACCTGTACGGTTCTGTTCCGTGCTTTACAAATGTTTAAGACTATCAACTCACCCGCCGCATGTGAGGTTCGCTCAGTGATGCGGTTTTTGTCAGCAAGGGACCTGCCTGCAGAAATTAATCGACAGATTTGTGAAGTGTACGGTGATACTGTTATGAGTGAAAGCAAAGTGCGTAAGTGGGTACGACAATTCAAAGATGGCCGGGACAACGTCCATGATGAGGATGACGTGAAAATGGCAGTGAACTCTTGGTTATCGGAGCAGGCGGCAAGTTTTTATGAAGAAGGTATTTTAAAATTGGTTCAGAGGTATGGTAAGTGTTTGAACAAACTTGGCAACTATGTCGAAAAATAGAGTGAAGTATGTACTTTCTGAAAATAAATTTACTTTTTTGAAATAAACTTTCGTTGTGTACTTATGTTCCAACGGACCTTACTTTAAAAATACCCCTTGTAGTTTCACAGATGTGGAAGGGACCCCCAAAGGCCATCCAGTCCAGAACATTATTCTTAACTGGGAGTCGTTTGGAAGTTGGATGTTGCTAACTAGGGGACTGCCTAGATCAGGGGTCTTCAAACCTTTTAAACAGAGGGCCAGGTCACAGTCCCTCAAACTGTTGGAGGACCGGATTATAATTTGAAAAAAAGTGAATGAATTCCTATGCACACTGCACATATCTTATTTGTAGTGCAAAAAAAAAAAACCCACTTAAAAACAATGCAATAATTAAAATGAAGAACAATTTAGCAAATATAAACTTATTAGTATTTCAATGGGAAGTGTGGGCCTGCTTTTGGCTGATAGGATTGTTGTTGTTGTGTGCGTTCAAGTCGTTTCAGACTTAGGTTGATCCTGAGCGAGGGCCGGATAAATGACCTTGGAGGGCCGTATCCGGCCCTCGGGCCGTAGTTTGAGGACCCCTGGCCTAGATAGATAGATAGATAGATAGATAGATAGATAGATAGATAGATAGATGGCGGAGGTAGATGTAGTTTCATAGATTTGGAAGGGATCCCCAAAGGCCATTCAGTCCAGTTCTTTTTTTTTTAAACTAGGAGTAATTTCTTAACTAGGAGTCATTTGTAAGTTGGATGATTGTAACTCGGGAACTGCCAATGATACTACATCTACCACTACTATATCTATGATACTAATTTGATTTCTCAATTATCCTGCTTACCCGCTGGAGGTCAGCCCATGTTTTGCTGAGAGGCTTTGATAACAAAGGGTTCAGTCTTCAGGTTCGGAGGGAGGCAGGAGGAGAAGGCAGATATGACATCTGTCCTTGCGCTATGCTATTCTGCTGCTGAGTATGCATGCCCAGTGTGGAACACATCTCACCACACTAAAACAGTGGATGTGGCTCTGAATGAGACATGCCGCATTATCACGGGGTGTCTGCGCCCTACACCACTGGAGAAATTACACTGTTTAGCTGGTATTGCACCACCTAACATCCACCGGGAAGTAGCAGCCAATAGCGAAAGGACCAAGGCAGTGACATCTCCAGCTCATCCCTTGTTTGGGTATCAGCTAGCACGTCAACAACTTAAATCAAAAAATAGTTTTCTAAGATCTACAGAGACACTTGCTGGAACACCTCAGCAAGCGAGAGTCCAAAAGTGGCAGGCTCAAACCCAGAACCTCAACCAATGGCTGATACCAAATGAGAGACTCCTCCCTGGGCAGACAGAAGACTGGGCGACTTGAAAGGCGCTGAACAGACTGCGCTCTGGCACCATGAGATGCAGAGCCAACCTTAAGAAATGGGGCCACAAAGTGGAGTCCACAACATGCGAGTGCGGAGAAGAGCAAACTACTGACTACCTGCTGCAATGCATATTGAGCCCTGCTACATGCACAATGGAGGACCTTCTTGTAGCAACACCAGAGGCACTCCAAGGGGCCTGATACTGGTCAAACGCCAATTTAATCAACTACCAAGCTTGCAAATTTTGTGGTTTTTTTAACCTGTTTGTTTGTTTTGTTCTATTAGAAATGTAATACAATGGTCTGGTTGCCCCTGACACGATAAATAAATAAATACATGAGGCAGATATAGTCCCATAGATTTGGAAGTGACCCGCTAAGGCCATCCAGTCCACCCCTGTCCTTAACTAGGAGTCGTTTTTAAGTCAGGTGTTTGTAACTCAGAGAGAGAGAGAGAAAGAGAGAGAGTGTATCATAGATTTGGAAAGGACTCCCAAAGGCCATCCAGTCTAGCCCCATTGTTCTTAATTAGGAGTAATTTATAAGTCGGATCTTTGTAACTCAGGGACAGCCTGCATTCAGGATGCCTATCTTTTCCTGCACTTTGATCCTACTGATCCGTATGCTGCTTCCCCTCCAAAGTGGCATCCTTGCCGATATTTACACATGGCTACCAATCATGGCACTATGTCACCTTCTCTTCTCCAGACTAAACCTCCCAGCTCCCTAAACGGCTCCTTGTAGGGATCCAGAGGACCTCTTGCTTGGATCGTTGGCATTGCCTTGAAGCAAGAGTGGCCCCCTTAGTGGTCCCATCATTGGCTAGAGTTGATGTTCCTTTCATGGCCAAAGATCTGGTTGAGGATCGCAATGAGAGTGAATGAGACCAAGCCACCAACCTGTGCTTGTCTCCTTGCTTACCAAGAAAACTGTGTGCAGGCTTATCCTCCATCACGCGGATCCTCCGAGCCCCGGCTGGGATCACGGCTGCCTCAATGTAGCCTAGGACAAAGGAAAGGAGTGAGTCGTCTATACCATGATCTGTTTGTCTACCTTCTGTACCTGATCAGAGAAGGACATCTCAACCTTTTAACGTAAACACCTGTTGCTCTGAATTAGAGTTTAAGGTAACACGATAACGTGCGTAGAAACCAGAGGTTGACATGACGTAAGGTTATTTAAGTTGGAAATTAGTCTCAGGGACTATTCATTCTGCACAATGTATGGTGCTCTTATTCTACATGATCTGCTACAATTAGGCCCTATGGAATTATGAGGGGGGAAATTTGGAGGAGGGATTTATAGTTCTCTGCTAAAGAGCCTGGTTGCAGCACTAAACTACAAACCACAGAACAAAATTATGACAGTCAAATGGGAATGAGTTCAACAGCGGAACTCTCTGCCTTGAAGTCTGGAGGCTTTGAAACAGAGGCTGAGTGGCCATCTGTCGGGAGGGATTCAACTGTGTTTTTCCTGCATGGTAGAATAAAGGGGCTTGGACTGGGTGGCCCACGCACCCTCTCCCAACTTTATGCTTCTACAATAGCACTATGACTGTGGAGTGTAAGTGGGGCCAAAATTTAGTGTGCATCTACACTTTAGACTCAAACCAGTTTGACACCACTTTAACTGCCATGGCTTGCGAACTGTAGTTTGGTGGGGCACTAGCCCCTTTTGGCAGTCAGCAAAAGGCCTTGTAAAACTACAGCTTTCACAAAGGTGTGTTAATCTGTAGATTTAGTTTGCACAGACTGAGATGCGAGAGAATGGTCAGATATCACCCCAGGAGTTTGTCTACACTGGACACATAATCCAGTTCAACCTGCATTATATGTGCCTATACTGGACATACAGCATAATCCAGTTTGATCTGCATTATATGAGCCTACACTGGACACATAATCCAGTTTGATATGCATTATATGAAGTCTACACTGGACATATAATCCAGTTTGATATGCATATGAGTCTACACTGGACACATAATCCAGTTTGATATGCATTATATGAAGTCTACACTGGACACATAATCCAGTTTGATCTGCATTATATGAGCCTACACTGGACACATAATCCAGTTTGATATGCATTATATGAAGTCTACACTGGACATATAATCCAGTTTGATCTGCATTATATGAGTCTACACTGGACATATAACCCAGTTCCATCTGCATTATATGAGTCTGCACTGGACATATAATCCAGTTTCATCTGCATTATATGAGCCTACACTAGACACATAATCCAGTTTGATATGCATTATATGAAGTCTACACTGACATATAATCCAGTTTGATATGCATTATATGATTCTACACTGGATATATAATCCAGTTCGATCTGCATTATATGAGTGTACACTGGATATATAATCCAGTTTGATCTGCATTATATGAATCTACCCTGGACATATAACCCAGTTCCATCTGCATTATATGAGTCTACACTGGATATATAACCCAGTTCGATCTGCATTATATGAAGTCTACACTGGATATATATAACCCAGTTCCATCTGCATTATATGAGATGGAACTGGGTTTGATCTGCATATATGAGTCTACACTGGACACATAATCCAGTTCGATCTGCATTATATGAAGTTTACACTAGAAACATAATCCAGTTCAAACCAAGTTAAATGGCAGTGTAGATGGCAGATAAACTCCACTTTACTCCGGCAAGCCAGATGGATCACAAATCCATCAATGTTCACAAATCACATCCTTCTGGCCATTGTTTGGCACGGGGTAGATGGAGGTATCTCTTTATTTAAATCACAATTGTGTAATCAAGAATATAAAGGCCAAGCAAACAGGTACCTTGTTGTTACTTGATTCAATGTATTACAACTGTATTACAATCTGTAGCAACAACAACAACAACACTTCTTGGTAACACACATGCACCCAACCAACAGTGACTAGCAAATACATAGGAAGCAAGGGGTTAATAACAAGGCACGCAAACAAAAACACCCCACAACTACACCCTGCCACCAGTGTTAGTATAACATTTTGGAACATGCCCCAAACCTACTGCGTGTAATCTCAATTTTTAATAATAATAATAATAATAATAATAACAACAACAATAATAATAATAGCACAGAATTACTCCAAATAATATTTGTCTAGGTCTCCCATTATTTTCAATTTAGAGCTATGCTTAAGGTCATGGGACAAGCCACTTCCGGTTAACCTTGCATTATCCATCTTCCCAGAGGTATTCGAGCAACACCAGCATGCAGAAGAACCCAGGAAAAGTAAATCCCTACAGAAACACTTCCTCCCCAAAATCCCCTCATATTTCATACAAAACTATCTTCTTTTTCTATTTTTTTGCCTTTTCGCAAAGGGTATGTAAATTGGAAAGCCAAACTGATGAGTCAGAAGTCTGATAAAAGCCCAAACGAAAACAATCCTATAATCAAGTGTTGAGTGGCACCTTAAAGAGTCTACACTGGGTTGTTGTAGGGTTTTTTGGGCTGTATGGCCAAGTTCTAGAGGCATTCTCTCCTGACGTTTCGCCTGCATCTATGGCAAGCATCCTCAGAGGTAGTGAGGTCTGTTGGAACTAGGAAAATGGGTTTATATATCTGTGGAATGACCAGGGTGGGACAAAGAACTCTTGTCTGTTGGAGCTAGGTGTGAATGTTTCAACTGACCACCTAGATTAGCATTTGATGGCCTCAGGTTCTGGGTTTGAGCCTGCCACTTTTGGACTCTCACTTGCTGAGGTGTTCCAGCGAGTGTCTCTGTAGATCTTAGAAAACTATTTCTTGATTTAAGTCGTTGACTTGCTGGCTGATACCCAAACAAGGGATGAACTGGAGATGAACAGGGGATGAGCTGGAGATGTCACTGCCTTGGTCCTTTCACTATTGGCTACTACTTCCCGGTGGATGTCAGGTGGTGCGATACCAGCTAAACAGTGTAATTTCTCCAGTGGTGTAGGGCGCAGACACCCTGTGATAATGCGGCATGTCTCATTAAGAGCCACATCCACTGTTTTAGCGTGGTGAAATGTGTTCCACACTGGGCATGCATACTCAGCAGCAGAGTAGCATAGCGCAAGGGCAGATGTCTTCACTGTGCCTGGTTGTGATCCCCAGGTTGTGCCAGTCTGCTTTCGTATGATATTGTTTCTAGCACCCACTTTTTGCTTGATATTCAGGCAGTGCTTCTTGTAGGTCAGAGCACAGTCCAGGGTGACTCCCAGGTATTTGGGTGTGCTGCAATGCTCCAGTGAGATTCCTTCCCAGGTTGTCCTCAGAGCTCGGGATGCTTGTCTGTTCTTAGGGTGAAAGGCACATGTCTGTGTTTTAGATGGATTAGGGATAAGCTGGTTTTCCCTGTAGTAGGCGGTAAGGGCACCTAGAGCTTCGGAGAGCTTCTGTTCAACCATCTCAAAGCTCCCTGCTTGAGCAGTAATGGCACGATCAGAGGGGGCCCTAGGTAATTTTCAACTGTAAGCAAACAGTATTTTGCCCCCCCCCCCCCCCAACCAATCACTGATATATATTTTCGGTTCGTCGTGAGAGTTCTGTGTGCCGTATTTGGTTCAATTCCATCATTGGTGGAGTTCAGAATGCTCTTTGATTGTAGGTGAACTATACATCCCAGTAACTACAACTCGCATTTGTCAAGGTCTATTTTCCCCCCAGAGTGCCTCAAGAGCGACCCTGGGCAAAATCAACTATACTGCAAACGCTTACTTTGCGTAATGGTTGAGCCGCCCCTGGGCACGATCATCAGCATAGATGACATAATGTAATATTTAAAATGTGGGTTTGGCCAGCAAGCATTTGTCAACACGTGCATCTCACTGACACATTGGTTAGAACCAGGACCGGATGCATTTCCATGGTAAATGGTAATTGACTTTCTCAGAATATAATCATCCGGAGAGGCCCTGCTCTCGATCCCACCAGCATCGCAGGCGCGATTGGTGGGGACGAGAGAGAGGGTCTTTTCGGTGGTGGCCCCTCGACTCTGGAACTCACTCCCTAAAGACATCAGACAGGCTCCAACTTTGGCAGTCTTCAGGAGGAACTTGAAGACGTGGCTGTTCCATGGTGCCTTCCCGGAATAAAGATCCCATAGCACTTTGTCCTCTAAAGCACTTTACATTTCTTTAAGTCTGCTCGTATGCCCTTCCACAAACACCAGTATCACCTTCCGTTCATGTCCAGCATTATTTCCAATTTTAACTCTACATTTGGCCTTCCCACTGTTTTTAATTATGTGTTGTTTTATTGATAATGTTGTGTATCTTATTGTCTATGTGTTTTTAATTGCTTGTATTGTTGTTATTATTGCTTGTATTGTTGTGTTTGGGCTCGGCCTCATGTAAGCCGCATTGAGTCCTTTGGGGAGATGGTAGCGGGGTACAAATAAAGTATTATTATTATTATTATTATTATTATTATTATTATTATTATTATTATGCGAAAGGGCTAAGCATTGGCCTTTTGTGCCAAGGACTCGGGGTAAACAATTAAGCATATTCTGAATCTTGAGAGGAAAGTGGTTGGAAACTTTAGCTTTCTGAGTAATAGCCGATGGAGGGAAGTGACTCGTAAATTGGTTGTGAATTCAGTACATGCAGTCCATACACAACAAACACACTATGTAGTGCAGTGGTTCTCAACCTTCCTAATGCCGCGACCCCTTAGTACAGTTCCTCATGTTGTGGTGACCCCCAACCATAATGTTATTTTCATTGCTACTTCATAACTGTAATTTTGCTACTGTTATGAATTGTAATGTAAATATCTGATATGCAGGATGTATTTTCAGTCACTGGATCAAATTTGGCACAAATACCCGATATGCCCAAAATTTGAATACTGATGGGGTTGGGGAGGTGATTGATTTTGTCATTTGATAATGCTTGGATTTATAGTTCACCTTAAATCAAAGAGCCTTCTGAACTCCATGAATGATGGAATTGAATCAAACATGGTACACAGAATTCCCATGACCAAGAGAAAATAC